CGCCGCCGCAGCCACCGCCGTGGGGTTCGCGTGCGCGAGCCCGCGGCCGCAAATGCAGAGCCTGCCAACCGGCTTCGCCGCGACCTCCCAGACCTCCCTGACACCGACGTCCTATGTGTCGACAACGCCCCACATGCCGCTGACACCCTTACCCTGCCGAAGCGCCAGCCCGGTCGTGCCGGTCACCAGTGTGTCAGCATCGGCGTCCTCCACGACCTTCCGCCAAAGTCCGAGCCCGAACACGTCCTTACCTTACGCGACTACTCACAGCCCCAATGTGTTACAGGTAAGATTCACCGTACGATCGAGGCCGATGAAATCGGAGGTAAATCGTCTCCTTGATCGAGTGCGATTTAGTGTGCGAGAAACTATCGAGCGACTGTGCTAAAGTTTCCGATTTTTGCTTCTCCAACTTATGTTCGTGTAGAACTATGTTTTACGTTGACACAAAACGGACGATAGTTTTTTCTTTTATGCATACACTTTGTCAGTAGCAACTATTACAGTAGATACTTAAATAATTATTACTTACATCTGTTAATATTTTTAATTTTTTAATTAAAAATTTTATGTAACACTCACTAATATATCTTCGTGAATTGATCAAAACCTTGTTCGAGTTATGTCCAATTTCTCCACTTTCAGATAAGTTGCGGATAACCTTATCCAGGAGATATCTCCATTGTATTCTGAGAGATATCTCATGGTTAAAGTTATCTAGAGGTGAAGAAATTGAACATTAATAGTTTTTCATTAAGAAAAAATTTGTAAAAGAAATCTTTTTGATTTGTCTGGATGTATGTTCTTCCTTAATTTGTGAATAATATCTAAATGTTTAAGAAACTAAATCATGAGTAATGTTTGAACATTTAAGCTCGGTTCCATAAATGTAAGATTAACTTTAATCTGGGTTTGACTTACTGTTTATTTCTTTTTAATTCTAAGAATTAACCGAGATTAATCTTACATTTGTAGAATCAGGCCTTAGATATTTTTATTGAATTATATATTAATGGAAAAAAAAACTACGTAAATGATTATATAAGCATCTGGGCTTTTTGACGAACGTTCGCGTCGCTTTCGTGCCATTTTTACACGCTTCATTGCTCACTTTTGTTGCGTATACAGGTAGGAACGTGCGAGTCTTCGTGCGGCAGCGGAACTACGCCAAGTCCAAGTGGTGGTGGCGGCGGTGGTGCACCTGCAAGCCCGACGCAGCCAACGCCGACCCTCCTGCAGTCACAGGTGCAGCGGCTCGCCGAAGCCGCGGAGAGACTCGTCGCTACCATAAGGCCCCTCGATCCCAAACCTCACAACGTGAAGAAAAAACTCTGCAAGAAGCTGGAGGTGATTCGTTAATTTCGACTGGCAGGCGCGCTCGTTTTTAATCGCTAGATGCTACATCCGTGGAAAATTTAACATCTGTTTCAAACATGATCGCTTAATGAGATTGTTACATTCGGCGATGACCCAGCTTTTAATTTAATTCATAAATTCTAGCGCGAACACAATGAAATATTTTTAAAAATGCATTTTCATTTTACAGATGGTAATGACGATGTCCGATAGCGATCCGCGCAAAATGGATGAAATCCGAAAGTATGCGGCGATTTACGGCAGATTCGATTGCAAGAGAAAGCCGGAGAAGCCTTTGACGTTGCACGAGGTATCGGTGAACGAAGCCGCGGCGCAAATCTGCAGATTCGTGCCTGCCCTTCTCACTAGGAGAGATGAGCTATTCCCTTTAGCGCGTCGTGTCGTTCGCGATTCCGGCTATCATTACTCCAAAAGCCAATAGTAAGTAAACATAGGTTTACACCCACTTTTATGGAATTTACGACTTTGAAAGCTCAAAATTCAAATTTATTCTGATCCTAATTTCAGGTAATCCAAAATTTACCTTAAAGAATAATATTGGTAGATTATATAAAACATTATTAGTTAACATGTTAATTGAATTAGCAAAATCAATCATCTCTTTTTGAATGGGCTTGAATAACTCAATAATCAAAATATTAGCAAAATGTTATACTAATTTACTAGTAGAATAGGTATCATGGCGAATTTATATCAATTGTGTTCGTATCAAGCTAATATTCTGCTAGCGAAGTCTGCCATTAATTTGGAAGATTGTCAGCAGAAACAGAATCTATCATGTTTTAATTATTTTTAATTATTTTTAAACTAACTGTTTAAGTGGTATGTATAATATTATTTTAATAATTGCGAAGTGATAGATTTTCTACTCAATTCTGCAGTCAATTCGCCATCATACACCATTAGCTATTCTTATTGGTATTCCGCCGAAAATTTCCGACAGATTTATAAAATCTATTTTCAATTTGACTGATTATGTGATTTAATCTATATAAGTGTATTTATTTAGTCATTCGATGTTGTTACAGCTTATCGATGTCGAGGCCGCGCGAGAACGGGGAGGAGACCGATGGTGAACGCTCGAAACGCCAAAAACTCGAGTTGGAGGGTGAGGGTGAGGATGCGACGCAGGTTAGATCATCCCAGCCACAGAAATAGATCGTTCCCTGTGCACTGTGACCTGCCGCACTCGCATGGCCGCTAATCATTAACCGTACGCTCGTCGCGTAGAGATCGCCACGCATTAACCATCCGCACTAACTTAGACGCGCGAAACAGAATGGATGCGAAAAAGGTCAAGTATAGTTGCAAAAAACACGTGCATGGCTTGCGCTTCTTCCATTTGATTGACTCAAGTGGTGTAACTTGTTCGTTGAGATTACAGTAGAAATCTGCTTGAATCTTTCTTTCGTAATTTGCAACTATGGCGTGTACTGAGACGCTTTGATGTGTAATCTTATGTGTGTGTAAACAAATCGATAAATTTGGTTTGTGTCACTAAACGACGATTATATTCAATATATGAATTACTCGTGCGTGTTATGCGTAAATAATCAAAGATTATTACGAGAACAAAGTTTACATCGCTTAATCTCGTCAAAGTTAATAGCAATGTACACATTCGTTTCACAACTAACGCTCCAGCAAATAAGCTGACGTTATTTGTCGTTATTTTGATATCATATTGATGTTTTCAAAATGACATCAAAATAACAACAAATAACGTCAGCTTTTTTGCTGGGACATTTCTTTAACTTGAACATTTTTTAGGCGATCTGTATCATTTTTCGTTCTTATCGCAAATGTAATAAAATATCATCTTTTTCATAATTTTTTTAATTTTTAATATCAGATATATATGTATCAGTTTTTAAAACTTAAAATAATTTCCGATATTTCTAATCACTTCAAGTTTTAACTTTTAATATCTTGGTAAAATTAAGAGTTTTTAATTATTATAAATTTTTTAATTTTAATCTATTTTAAATTGAATCACAAAAAATGTTCCATTTAATTATTGTTACTTATTTATGCTTCCTAAATTTAATTTGTGAAAATCGTTTCTGTTCAGAAGCATGAGCATGCAAATTATTAATATATATATCTTAAAATCTTTGCTTAACCCTTCGTGGTCACATCTCCTGAGAATTTTATGTTGGTCGTACAGGCGATAAAATGACCCTAACATTTCAAATGATTGCCGTATTTATAACTTTTGTTTTTTAAAATCATAAAAATTACTGAACATACTTTAAACATTGTAGAATATTGTAGAATATGGAAACTTTTTAAAGTTTTTAATTTTAACATATTAAAAAAATTGCAAATACTGACGTCTAAGGAACAATATCCGGCTTTTAGTCACAAAAAGGGTATTTTGCAGGGTTGGGTAGTGCTAAATTAAAAAGATAAAAGTTAAGTTAAAAAGTTAATTAATTGTAACTTAGTTTACATTTTAGCCTCTTAACTTTTTAACTTAATTTAGCTACATTTTATCGGTAACTATTAACTTTTAATTTAATTTTTTTTAAATTAATCCTCAGACACAATGCGAGAAGATAATGAGTATATAATTTAGTAATTTTATATTGTATAATTGTTAATTGTGAACAAAAATAATCAGATTCTTTAATAAATGCCGTGAGAAAGGAAAAATACAAAAAATTATGTAAAATAATCAACTTTTTCTTTTTCTTTTTTTTTGTTGTTCGTTCGGATCAAATTTAACTTTTAATTTTTCAATTACTTTTTTTATTAACTTAACTTTTAATTCAATTAATTTCATTATGGATTAACTTGTATTTTAATTAAGTTAAATTTTCGAGGCTGTTAACTTTAACTTAACTTAGTTTAAAAAAAAGTTAACTTACCCAACCCTGGTATTTTGAACTTCAAATAAATGAATTTAAGTCCCGTTTTAAAAAGAGACCTTAGAAATTTAAAGCCTCACATCTTTTTGGAGTCCCCTGGACCCCCAGTGACCACGAAGGGTTAACAGTAAGTTTACATATATATTACAGCTACTTTTTTCTTCTTTCATTTCTAAGAGTTACTTGGTAATTCTATAAATGCAATTATTTTGAGTAAAACGATTGGTCATGTTTCAAAGGTTTCTTTTGCTTATATTGCATGAATTTTCAATAAATCTTCAATCTGCATGTTGAATAAATATTTAAAATTAGAAGACATATGGAATTCTTCATGGAAAAATAACGCGGAAATTCTTTTTGTATTATATGTTGTTAAATTTGATTGCAAAAATCAGTCGTTTCGAAGATTGATTTGTTCGATACGACTTGCTTGGACTCTATGCTCTGCGCCTGGTATCCCAAGTCGTATTTATTTGTTCGTATTTAATCGTGCCTCTCCTACATGTCCCATTTCCGCACCTCCCCTCTGTTTTCCTCTTTTCTTTCATGCACCCAATTTGCTACTTCTACTGTCTGTAGCAGTTCACTGTTCCAGGAGGAGTTAGATCTACGCTGTTCTGGAACGGATATTAACAATTCTATCACGAGAAGACACAGATCGTCGAGGTGATTATCCTTAATCTTAAAGTGTAATTCTTTTATCCTAATTAAAGATTTTAGTGGGAATTAACAAGAAAAGTAATATATAGACATTATTCTTTTTAATCAACAAATTAAAATATATTAAGTTCTATATTATAAGATAATAAATTAATATATGTATAAATAATAAATTAAAATGATCGAGAAAAGTACGCTTTTCATCTAAACATTTTCTTTAATTTACTTTAATTCGAAAAATATAAATCCTAATTGATCTATACATATATGTCCTGACGTTTTGCTTGTTTTGAACTTTGAATTCACTTTTTTATGTACTAATAATTAAAAATTACTCTTTAAAATGTAACTTATAATATTCTCGAATTTTGAGAGTGTTGTATCTTTCTTATAATCTCAATTTAGATACATTCGCATTGTTCCATTTATAATTACGTAAATAATAGCACATTGATGTTCAGATATTCGCAATGTTTCAGTCCAGTCTGGAGGAAGAAGAATAATAATGGTGTATTTGGCGCTAGCGTGGAAGAAATTAGTGACTCGGATAGCCAATTTTCCTTTTCTAACGAGGAATCTTCGTCTATGCACGTACGTGTGTAATATTAGGAAAACGATCTATTTATCTGTGCGTTTAAAATTCTGGCACAGAACTGAAGACACAGAATTGAACAGCGATATAATATGCATATTTTTCAGGACACAAACGAGGCGGAGGCTGAGAATACAGACAAAGAAAGCGACTTCAATCTAAAGGTGAGCGACAAACAGATCCAAGGTCTTCGTTGTATCTTCATCTTTCATCTTTCGTCATTCTTGCTTGAACATCAGAAGAACCATTTGTAAAAACCGCTAAATACGACGCACAAGTTTTTTTTTTAATCTGTTATGCTGTCCTTTCCTTTTTTTGTAATTCCTGAATAATGCATACTTCTTTAGAATAGTAGAGAAAAAACGGCGATAGACGTCTCGCCGCAGCATTTTACTGTAAAGCTGTTAATGGCTCACACATAAATTATATGTAGGTGATAGCTTCGCGCGGAGACAACATAATCGCCGTGGCGAATCCTGCGCTAATGGAATGCAGCCATCCTATAAAAGAGGAACCCGCGGACGAGAAACCCACACTGTGATATTATTACTTAACGTTTACTGCCGCTACCGACGTCACGGCGACGTGAATGACGGCATCCCGCCGATCATCGTTTACGTGAATATCGTCCATATGTGTTATTGAGCACGATAGCATTCATGACTAGCGATCGTTGGAATAATATAACACTCGCTTGGATTTTACAACGGTTGACTGGAGTGACCTGTCCGAGAACATTATGATGCTGCCCCGTTATTTAGTTCTATCAAAATACAAAGACACGAGAGATACTGTATAACAATTACGATGAACGTTTCTAGAAGGCGATAGATGAATAAAAGTAAATCGTTTAAATCAAAAGACCGTTGACTGATGTATGTAGCATTATAAGATGTACATTATAAGCAAATGTAAATATAGATAAATATATAAGGGTCCTTTTTTTTAAATGCGCTGTTGCGAGTAGCTTTATTTGAAAGATTCGGAGTCACTTTTCTCGCAAAATGATCAATTAATTTATTTTGTCCTCTGTATACCTTTTTATTAGAATATTATCAATATTTACGTTAATTATTTTGTTAAATAATTACTTTGCCATTTTCATAAAAATCTATAAAAAAGATAAACGATTTTTTTATATTGATATATTTATTAAAAATGATTTTCTCTACACAGTATTAATTATTACATGTATGAACGTATTTCATGAATCAATTTTTTATAATGTATTAATTTTTTTACTTAGGTATTAAAAGTTTTAAAAAATTGTTTTTTACTTCACCATATTCAATACTATATACAGATTTTTTTAATTCAACGTATTCAATACTATGTCATCGAATGAATACAAAACTCTAATCGAAATCTTTTAAATTAAACCTTAACTAGTTTTAAACAATTGACAAATCCTCTAAATTTAATTTCTTTTCATTTGTATCAGTAGAACAAAGGTCGAAAAAGAAATTAGAACACATAATGACTCAAACTTCATCAATATTTTTTGGGGGAAGAAAGTCTTGCCTTTCAATCTTTCTTTGAATGTACATGTTACAGTCAAAGTGTAAACTTTAGTAAGTGTATACGCTCACTAGTCAATACATTTACGTAAGATTTATTATACGTAATTTATTACGTAAGATTTATAAATATATACATTAACTACAGTAAGTGCATACATTTATTGAGTTAACACTTTGGCTGTGACATAAAAAATACATACAATGCTGGCTTCATCAATCCACATCTAAAGGTTATAGCAATTAGTTAATATTCGATATTATTTCTCCAATGATATAATAAAAAAGAAATATTTGCATTCTGTTGCTCAATAAATTTTTCATCGGAAATTGCCGAATATTGATAGTAGTATAATCGCCGGTGTCAATCAGAAAACATCAATGAACGTAGTATAACAGTTTGAACATCGCTCAAATAGTTTTTGATTGATTTTCCATATATGTTTAATGCTAATTACGAAGAAATTTATATTTTATTATTTTCTTATTAGTAATAAAATAATATATATAAACGATTGAAATCATTTTTTTATGTAATAAATAGGATTATAGATACTGAACTGATTTAAATATTTTTGAAAAGCGCACGAAAAACAAAATGCTTAAGCCTTGTATTTCACGATGCTAGAAATCGATCCCAGATCTCAGACGGAGAGAGAATTGACCAATCGCACTTCAACAATTCAATCAATCGATTTGTGATTGGTAACTTCCTTTCCATTCGAGATCTCGTATCGATTTCTAACATTGGACAAACCACACACTTTTCACAACAGTAATCATAAGGGTATATCCACACAAACTTGCATAGCAGCATAAACGAATACATAAAAAAAATCATCCAATCACATTTTATGTGCGTCTTTATAAGCGAAATGCAATTGGATAATTTTCTTTATGCATACATTTATGCGGTTATGCAAGTTGTGTGAATATATGACCTTTAGCCAATCAAAGCTGTAAGTTTTTAAAAATTCTTGACTGTGATTGGCTAATTTTTACGGTACGTACCGTCTTAAGGTTACTGTTATTGAAAATGTGTGCAGCAGTCCTAACTCAAGGAGAACAAGAAAATCAAAATAATGTCAATTTGACGTCATATTGATTAATTTATGTCATTTTTTGGTCATGATAAAAATCTCGATCTCAGATGATCTAAGAATGACTATATAATTATATATATATATAACATAATATATATGACCAAAAAATGATATAAATTCGTCAATATGATGTCAAATTGACATTATTTTGATTTTCTTATTCTCCTCCCGGTAAAAAATTTATCATGCATGAATATGTATAAACATACATAAACATGTATAAATATCTATAAACATAAATAATTTTATATGAAATATAAATCCATACATCCTTTTTTCTCTTGTTAAATTACTTTTTAGTGTAATAGAAATAATAATAGCAATGTGAAAACATTAAAAATAATCAAAAGGGTAATTTTCGCACTATTTGTTTTAGAAAAAATCAAGTTTGAAGAAATATAAAAAAAATTACTTATGTATAATTATATATAAAATTATGTATAATTGTATATGAGCAATTTTTTTTCATTTTTCCAAATTTGTTTTTTTCTAAAACGAACAACGCAAAAATTATCCGTTTAAATACGTATCCTTTATTTTTGTATAGAAAATAACATATTCAAAGCTCATTAAAATCAGAAGGGGGCACTTACATGGATTTCCTTGTTCAGTCCACTCTGCCTCGAACGCTTTTCATCAAAACTTATCGGACAGCTTGTATATTTAGAGACGCAATGCAGAACTTCTTCTATCCTATTGCACAACATATACATATGTATGGTTGCATTTGAGGAGACGTTATCAGACACTATTAGCATCATTTGCATCATTCTACTTTTATCGTGAGTTCTGAAGAATCAATCGTCCGCGGCGGACACGTCTTAGCTCGGGTGCTTTTATCTTGTATATTTTGGAAAGTGTTGCCGACCTAAGGTAAATTTTCACGGTTGCTTAAACAGGCTGTTTCAGCGACAAAAAGGATCAAAATTGACGAATATCAAGCATCCATTTTGACCACGTGATCCTTTTTGTCGCTGAAACAGCCGGTTTGAGCAGCTCGTGAAAATTTACCTTTAGATTGTACCTTGATAAACACATAGCTGTCCCGCGGTTTTGAACGATCCGTCCGTTCGTCCTGACGTACATCTGTGCGACGTCGCGACGTCGTAGACGCAGACGTCCGGTGTTCGGGCGGGCTTCGTCATTTTCACAGGCATTACATCACCTTTTGTTTTTGTGTACCTTGGACGTGATCTGGCCGTATCGATCTCCGTTTATAATTTCGGGAGGCGAGAGTCGCAGAAGAAGATCTATATAATATAAGAAGAAGTCTATTATAAACGTAAAATAAGGACACAATTAGCGCTAATAGCGTCTTCCTGAATATACCTTATGCGAAGCGCTCTGCACTGCGTCTTCAAAATGTATATTTATATATCTGTATATACAGGCTGCGTTCTGTTTCACGCATGACGCGCATGATGTATCATTTTATCTTTCTTTAATATTTGGTGAACAACAAGGATAAAATGATATATCATGCGCATCATGCGTGAAACAGAATGCATCTACGATAGATCGTATGAACCGTTTCAAAGATTTTCGAAAAGTATCGAGGTTGATCACGTGATCAGTGACGTGTTTATTTTCATAATTTCGTACTGGTGCTGCGCAGTGATGCAGATCGGACCGCGTTTCTGGCGCATGCGCGTCGAACGCAGCGTCAGTATCGTACTCGTTACCAGTAAACGGGAGTTCATTAGTCGCCTACGTAAAATTTGTTAAAAATTCTTAAAAATTATAATATATTTTATATATTTTACATATATTACTTACAAACAAATTCACATATATTAAAAATATGACTATTTGCATTTAATAATAAAATATTAGCTGAAGAATAAGAGAACAGTGTAACAAATGTACAACTTGTAACAAATGTTGGTACGAGATTCTGCCAAATAAAATATTTTAATATAAAAAACTGTTTCATAAATTATTTTACACTTTTCTCTTATTCTTC